TCATAAGAGTTTCAATGACCATTTGTATGAATCATCCCATAACAGGGAGGAAAGATCTGTCAATTAAATTGAAATAGCATTAGCAATTACATTGTAATTGTGCTTCCAAACCACAATTATTTAGAAGCTTCTTAAATTTGATACAAAGTTTTGGTTTTTAAAAAAATTATTATTATTATTATTATTATTATTATTATTATTATTATTATTACAAATATTATTATTGACTAAATGTCTCTCCGATGCTGGGAAAAAATTTTTTCTTTTACGCGCGTTTGCCCTCCAGCATTTAGTACGCGTAACGGTGAGCCTAGTATTGTAGAAGTATCAAAACAGAAACCAAAAAGAACGTGCATAATTTGGGGCATATTTTTGTGCTGGTGTTTAACGATAAGTTATACGGAAGTTTTGGTTCGGCCGCAAGCGTAGTATTAGCATTACGTCTGCTTGTTCCGAATACTGATATGTTAATTAGCGACATTACATGCGATTAATGGATAAAAACGCGCGTTATAGAGAGAAAATTTTTTTCGTTGTAACAGTCATCGAAAGCTGTCTTTCGGCAGGTTGACTATTGTAATAATGCACGTTCTTTTCAACCTGCGTAATCTCCAAGCGACAACCATTTTAGGCTAGTGCATAAAAACCTGCTTTCCCAATTAAAGAGTGTTGTACCGAAATTACAACTTGTGTCACTAATTATAGTTTTCATGTTTCGGCAAATCTATAATACTATTACAGTATTGGTGCGTTACATATATTCATTTTCTCGCCCAATAGTCCATCAGGGTTTTTCTTTTTACTACCAATCGTCTTCTTCTCGGTATTTGCATTTCATAAAGTAACGATATTTTTTGTCACAGTGCTTCATATCAGCGAACGAGAAAGATTTTGTGACTAAGCTTACATTGAGGATGTGATAGTAATAGTCAACTTAAACAACTGTACTCCCCTAAAATTTGTAATGATCAGCAACAAGCATGCTCCATGTATATTAAACATTTATATGGTCATTGCAGCTGTCCAAGTCTCAAACCTTGTCCACATATTTCATACATACGTTCAGTTTCCCTGGCTTCAATCCTTTTGCCTCTTATACCGTCGCAACCGCTCTTTACCAACAAATACTTTTCCTTTCTCCGGTGCACCACCTACTACACACAATTCGATGGACGACGGAATAATATATCAACTGGAAGATGCACAACAGTTTTGGGCAGGTCAGTTGACGTAATACGTCTCGCAATGTTTTCTGCAAACGGGGACATAACATGTTTACCTGTTGGTCTTGTTATGGTCGTGCAGAATTGGATGATATTCTGACCAGAGGTGATAGAAGTGCCGAAGTTGCACGCGGGTGTGTTGATTTGTATATTGGGCTTGTTGCTAGTCACCAAGGTAAACAACGACCATAATGATATACGAATTAGCATTAGAAAACTTAAGACTAGCAGGGCGGATTATTGGAGAAGCAAGACTGCCAATATAATCACATCAACGCTCACATTAATTTTATACTCCTGCTCAGACGACTTTCTAGACACCACAACTTCAGCTGACCTCGCCTCGTGTTGTTACAAGCTTCTGGATTCCTCTTTATTTTCTAAATATAAATCCAAGATCACGGAAGGCATCATAGATCGTGCAGCTAGACACGGTGATCTAAACGATCTATATGTGACTTATCACATTCTTCTGCTCGGTGGGAAAGAAAATCCAGAGATTTTTAAGATGGTGTTGGCAAGAAGAAAGCGTGAGATATTTGCAAAATTGAAAAAACAGATTTGTGAACTAGAAGGTTAGAGAAAGTGATAATGGGTTTAGAAAGGGAAAGAGATTATTGTATTCTGCGTTTTGGAAAGAATGTGTTTAGCGTGAAAAGGAAGAATGATTGAAAAAAGAAAGCAGGCACAGTTTCATAGGGCATTTCGTTAGTTGTGCTCTAACATATATATTATGTGTGGTATAACGCAAACAAAATTGCGAATTGGGTGTATACCATAATTTTTTTCATGGTTTGTTTAATTACTTGATTGTATTTCGTTGCCATTGCTGTTGTCGCTGTTTCTTTTAGGTCACAGAATACAACAAATCGCGATTGAATTGATGTTTGAAATATGTCACTTTCAGAGATTGCCCGAAGATGATTTGAGTAAGTACATAACGAAAAGGAAAATTATATCATCAAAAATTTAATCATATTTATCTTATTAGTGAATCCGTTCATTGAATATGAATTTTATTTATCGAAACTAAAACATTTCACATTTCTAATTGTATTTTGTAGGCATGGTGGATACACCATTCATCAACTATCTCTTGGATCTCGTTGAAAAAACACGTGATGACGCAGATGAGACGTTTAACTATTCAATAATAAAACTCATTGTAAGCTATGCAACTCATTTGAGTGGTAATTCGTCTCCGCCCCGCAGTCTTTACTCACAAGCATATTCATGTTATTGACCACATTTTAGTTAGCATTCAACGAACAATTTCTGCGATCTCCTTCATCGAACAGTGTTAACAGTTCTTCCCCAGCTACGCCTGATAACGTGGTGTTGCAGGTACTAGGGACGAGAATCGGGACAAGCAAAACGTTTGGGGAAAACGTGATATTCATGCTGAATCGTTGCGGTATGATGCTTCAATGATTTCGGTCATGGTGTGGATTTTTAATGATTATAATTAACACCCGAATAATGACTATGTTTTACAGTGGAACCAAACATTCAAATGATAATTCTCAAACTTTTGTATGGATTATTCAATACTCCCCAAACTTACGAGTTTTTCTACACCAATGATCTAAGAGTGTTATTAGACGTATTTATACGGGAATTATATAACCTACCGGATGAGAGACATTACGTAAGTATAGAGAAGGTCAAATCAAATACTGAAGATGGTGTCAGGGAGTATATAAAACTTTTGCCACCAATTCGTCTTGCATCTTTTATTGTTAACCCGTAAGTTTATCTCAAACCCCCCCCCCCCCCCCCCCAATGGCAGCTCCGAAACGCATTTCTCCGAGTACTCTGTCTGCTTTTACAAAATACTCAGCTCTATCAACTTCGCTATAAGCAGGATCAGATATACAGTTTATTAATGGACCTCATTGGTGCTAATGCTCAAAATTTTAAGCCCGTTGACAACGGCACTGAAGAACTAGTACGTGATTGTCTATTGGTAGGGTATTTGGACGGAGTCATTCAGAATGGAAATGTAGGTGGTGAAAATGTGAATGGATGCGCTAATGAGACCAATAGTCATACTGGAAGCATCTCAGAAGCACATTCTTCTTCTCATGGAAATGATGGAACTAACAGTGCAAATAACGACGGTATCGGTAACAATGCAACTGATGGTGCTAATAATGCAGGAAGTAATGCTGAGGGAGCTGTTGTCGCTGGAGCATAATGTCGATGTTAGCGAATGATGATGGAATTTTTTGTCAAGACGGAAACTTGCCGGTTGAATGACATTATAATTGAGAAGTAGTATTGATAGACATTTTTATAACCTTTGTATTATAGTGGTTATTATCCTTTGACGTCGACAGATTACATAGATGAAATAATAAGCACTTGCAGAACTTGCTAATTCAACCATATTGAAATGACATTAAGACTTTTTCCTTCCCCCCCCCCTCTTTCT